CGCCACCACACCGCGGGCGGCGGGAAGTGCATGTGGACTATTCCCGCTGCGAGTCACCCTGGGCACTCCATGTCAAGCACGGGGACTGCGCGGATTACTGTAGTTTTAGATGAGGAGGGGGTGTTGTTCTGGCTGCGGCCGATTGACATGCGAGCTGCGGGGTGCTGGGTTTTCATGCCGACGGGATTGCTGGAAGGGGATGAAAGGCTGTTGGGGGGGGGGGGGAGGGGAGGCCGCCAACTAGAGATACTGCTGCGGGAGATCGTTTACCACCAGACGAATGTTGCTCTGAAACTAAACCGTGGCCCAAAAGGCCCCGCACTGATACATCCTGCACTTAGAGCTCCTGAACTTTCCGAGGGAGCAAAAGAAGGTGGCCCAGGTCAGCAGACACTAAACTATTCGCAGGCTCAGAGCTGAATAAATACCAGCCTGCTTTGGTGGGTCGGCGCCAGAGAGAAGCACTTTCCAGTAGGGCACTCACCGCTTGCAGCACCCCAGCGCGGCTTCGCTTTTTTGTGTTGTTCATCCTCAGATGTGCTTCTCCCAGGGCTGGGTTTGTGTTTGGGACTGAAGTTTGGACTCTGCAGATATCCGTGATCCACCCGGGAGAAGGGAGTAGCCTTCAACTTCTCATCTGGAATCTGCCAAAGAACACAAACAATTCTGATTTTCTGATGCACAATTGGGCCCCCCAAGGGGGCAAGTACTAGGTGTGCCCACCCGCAAAAGGCAGGCTAGAGTGCACACGGGTGCCTGCAGTCAAGCTGAATAAGCCGTTTGCGTTCTAGCGGGCATTTTCCGACTGCCTGTAGCTTCCTCCTAATTTTGCCTTCCAGATTGAACTCCTCTACAGGCAAGATAAGCTTTTTTTTTTCAACAGCATGAATAAAGATAGATCAATAATTTCTGAGTGAAAACGCAAAACAGCATGTTTGCTCTGATAAAAGATGTGTTGAAACATTTTTGTTGTTTTCAAACGGCTGTAGTCTCCCTCTTAAGGCAGCTAAAGTGGAATTCAGCAAGGAGAGAAGCCCTAGGCAGCCGGGCTGCTTTTCAGTGTTTTACTCGGCGCTATTCAATGTCATTTACAAGTACATTTCACATAGAAGTTTATTTTAATTCAACATTGCTTTAAAAAAAATACATACACCCACCGCAAACCATCCCCTGATGTTCCTCTGGCCTGATTCATTATTACTTTAATTGTTTTGCCACTTTAGTTAAAATCCAGGATTAGGTTTAAGGATTAGGACCCCGCTATGCTAAATAACGTAACGCATACGCATCCACGCAACAGCGCGCAGTGCTGTTCTCCTTCAGCACACAGCCATTCAACATCCTACCACCTTCGTGCATACAGGCAGACAAAAGGCAAAGTAGAAACTCCCATTAGGGCCACAACTTCAGCTTCAGGAAACACATGTCGTTCCAGAAAACTCCGATGGAGCTATGATACTTCACATCAGCTGAGAGTCTGCTGCACAGTGGATAAGTACCTACAGGATATGATCCATGAAGGTTTGTACGGGCTGAATTAGGGCTCCTACGACGTGAACAGAGAGTTATTTTTCCCCCCCCTCCCTTAATCATTTTCCCTAAACCCCTCAAAACCTGGGGGTTTCCTGGTGCCTTGCCTTTCTTTTAACTTATTTGGCCAGGAGCCTGATCCAGAGTTTCCTGAGACAAAGTTGATGTTGATATTATTTCCACATTTTAAACACTGGGGGTAGTCCAATCCCTTATGCGTCACTATTGTTAGTTACTCCTTGCTTTTTTTTTTTTTTTTAAACCTCCTCCAGCTTTTGCAAGTTTGGCATACACAAGTTTTGCTAAACTTTTGACTCATGACAAAGGAAGGAAAGATTTTCAATACAAGGAAGCACCATTGTTTTGCCTGTAACTGGGGATTTATACTTGCTTTGAAATTTTCATATACTCATAAACTGACAATACTGTTCTTTTGCACTTGATGTGAGCTGCTGTTTGTATTTATCTATGTATGTATGATGGATGGCTGAGCCTTGAACAGTGTTCCAGATCGCTGTAGACCTTTGATCTGAGAGTCTTGCAACGTTTGAGCTGGCTTAATAGTTAATGTTAGGATGTTGTCTCTCATTTTAGCCAGTTCTTGGAGGCAGAAAGCCGCATGGCTGCAGTTAGGCCCATTTCACCTTCCATCAGCGGGTAAATTCCTAAGCAGTCAGCCAGAGCACTTCAAACCACAGCCCAGCAGCGATGCTGTGTTCCTAAAAAACAGCACGCCTTAAGAGTTCAGCCTCCACCTCCTTCCGTCCCTGTGACAACACTGCTACTGCATGACCAAATTCCCCGTGCCTGTCCTGCAGGTAATTTGGCCCCAGACTGAACTGGAAGAATACCATGCTATGATACTCTTTATCTGATACAAGTTGATAGTGCAACTCTGTCTGGAGCAGTTCTCCTTTAAGCAAGGGGATCATGAAAATAAATCAGTTGAACAATATGGCAACACACACGCTCACTTTTTTCCATGCTGTAGCAACTGATGGCTCTTTCTCTTCTTGCCAACCACTTCATTCCTCCCTCCCTCCCTCCCTCCTCTGATCTTCTAGTATCAGTCTTTCTTGGTTATTTCCTCTGTTGATAAGCAGAGTCAGCTTTTTAATATGCTACTAGCATCTGGAGTAATTTACACCAGCACCTCACTTTGAATGACCCATCTCAGCAACATCCCTGAAAACCTGACATGTTGCATGAAAGTCCTTCTCTTCACGAGCACTTTTGCACATATATTCAGCCCCCTGCATTTCCCCTGCAGAAATTTCCATAGAAACAGTGGTTTTAACAGCTTTCTGGGAGCCATTAGACACTGCTCTCTTGATTTAGTACAGACATCAGCATGTTACAGAAGGTATTAAATGACACACCATCAGATCATAGTGTTTAGTGAGCCTCTTCAGAATAGCTATGAACTAAAACTTTTCCTTGTTCCTACTCTACTGGAATCTCTTATTAATCATTGATGGCTTCACAGCAAAACATGGCTGAAGTATACATAGTCCTTCTGTATATATTGTTGTCTCCGGGCTGCCTGGCTACATTTGATAGCAGAAGAATACAGAACTTTCACTTCACATCAATGTCAGCAGTGGGTGATATGGATATATAAACTGCTTCTGTTCTTAACCATGCCATTTGTATCCACAAACATTTAGAACGTTTAAGGGAGAAACTTGACTTGCTCTTCCAATGAATCATGAGTTCTGTAATACAAACTCAGCATTAGACAAAAGAAAAACAAAAAAACCCAAGAGAGCAGCATCTTTCTACAATATTCACTTTTCTGTAAAATTTCCCATGCTTCTTTTGGTTCTTTCTGGACACCAAAAACCGTAGCGTACCTTTGCTACACTTCAATAAGGAACCTGAAATTTTCACATAAAGTAGTGTAAGTGCATATCAGCAGTAATATTCTGTGACGTTTTTATACAGATATACAACCATAATTGTACCCAGCTCATAATCTTTTGTGTGTCACTATCTTCAAAAAACCCACAGAATATGCATATAAGACAGAAGCTCTGCTGGCTTATCTACAGATAACCAAGGAAATAAAGAGTTGTTAAATCATCTATGACTGCACGCTACAGAGGGGCTGTGGGGCAGCACAAATACCTTCAGAGAAAGAGAACTCACAAACCAGGCTTTTGTGATTGTGTAATCCAGCTTCCTTAATCAAACGGGCCGCATTACTTTGCCATACCACGTCCTGTTTGAACCACAGCACATCTTTCAGGAAACAGAATCACTGCATATTTCAGATTGGAAGGGACCTCACTCTGCCTCTAATTTCATCTAGCTTCAGCTTCTGGTTCTGCCACTCTAGACGGAAGGACCTTTTTAAGGGATCTTGGTATGGACAAAATGACGGACTACGATCAAAGCACCCTTTAACATTCTCTTTGGAAGTTCAATAGACTTGGTTATTTTGCTGTATTCTTGAGCTAACAACAGATCTGGAGAGAGCATTCCAGTCACGGTTGCTAAAAGCATGACATATAGAAGTACTATAGCATCCCAACTCTTACTTGATATTCCTTCATTTATTTTGCTGGGGATCATGCTGTTACTCCTTTTAGCATCACACGTGGAACACTTATTTGGTTGATATATGTACTCTGTCACCTTCCATATTAACTACTCCCTCAATCTTTCTATCATTTGTGAGTATCTGTGATGACTGTATGTCTCCTTCAAAGGTACCAATAAACATTTAGTGATATGCAGCCAAGAAATGACCTAAGAGGGACCTTGCTGAAAATGATCTCACTAACTATTCTTCATTTAAATTAACATTATGAGACATTTTTGTCTCATTCTGAGATTTGTTTTTAACCCGTTCGCTGGTGACCAGATTGTGTCATTCTGGTTTCTTGATTTAGTGTTATGTGGTCAAGTCATCAGCCTTTATATATCTGTATGTATTACATCAAATGCATTCCTTTTAGTAACCACAATTAATATCTTTTCTGATGCAATTACAAGCTAATGTGATAGAATCTATTTCTGCCAACCCATGTTGATTGGCATTAATTACAATACCTTTCTTTAATTCATTATTGAAGCAACTCCTGTGTCAGTGATTCTATTCTTTTGCCTGGGAGGGATCCCTGTCATTTTGAAGGTCTCTAGTTACCCAGGTCATCCCATTCAGGGCCAGTTCCAAAGCAATACTTTGGGAAGTTGTAGAACTGTATCTAAAAACTGTATTCTATCTGTAGAACTGCAATCTAAAAACCCCTCATTCAGCAGCCGCTTGAGGCTGAAAGCACACATTTAACCTCCAAGTTCACCATGCACTTACAATTTTGCCTCTCCGCATGCCCAGATTGTCCTGGCTGCAGCAGATAAGAGGCCTAATGAGCGCTAAAGCTAAGGTTTACATAAATCTGGGTTGCCCCAGCCAAGTAACAGTTTTCCACCTCAAAACTCAGTCTTATGAGATACTAAGGATTTCTAATATTTGTCCAGGACACGGGAAAAATGGGATGGTTTCACCTGAGCCACTGCATTAAAGATATTTGGGATTTATGGACAGAGGGGATGCAGCTGAACCACACATGGGCAGCTGGTTGCCGTGAACCTTGTAACAGGTTCAATGCTTGCTGGTCAATAGGGTTATAGCACTCGCCCAGCAAGTCCCGTGCAGCCCACAACCACACCGCCTGCTGCACAGCAATTCCCTTCACAAACACTACAATTTCTGAAGAGCAGACAGAAATACCGCAGCTTTCAGTCGAGGCCCTCCAGAAACCTGGAAGAAAGATGCCTGTATCACCTGTCAGGCCCAATCCAGTGCCTTCAGAATAGATCTCACATACTCAGTGAGGCCCTGCAAAGGCAGGCGAAGGGATGGGAGGGGGGCATAGCTTACCTATTATTAAATAGCCTCCTCACTAGGCATTCAAAGCCACATCCTCAATCACATCAGCTGAGGCGACAGGCACTCTTCACTCCTGTTGCAGTTGTGACACTGTTCAGAAAGAAACACAGGTTCACTAGGCCGGAAGGAGTGAGAATATGAGAAAGCTCAGTGCTATCGTTTGCTGGTTAAATCATTCATCTGGGAAAGGGGAAGCCTGCAGGTTCCAATTCCGGAAACGTTTATGCAATACATATGACCTAATAATTACTGGAATGGAAAACCAAAGCTCTTACTTTACAGCAGTCTCCAGGGACACAGTTTAAACCCTCCTGAGGCTGAGAAGGACATAAATACCAAACACGCCACTTTATGGCAAATGCTCGAGCCCCGGACCACCAGCTAAACGGGTAGCAGCAGATGCAGTCGCTGCTGTGTTTTTTTGAATAACTTGGCTCATTCTTTCTGAGGAAAAACTGTAAGATACAGCTTGGAAAGAAGATCGTGGCCATGAGTACTCAATGAATGAAAAAATGCCTTAGTCTCATGGAGAGGGTCCAGACAGTTTCTCCCTCTCAATGTACCTGGACCCTATATTGAGACAGCTATCTAACAAACTCCATGCACTGGTGAGAAAGCACAGGCCTCCAATTCTGGAGCTGGGTTTCCAGGGCCAGGCAGCTAAGAGTTAGGCACTGGCAGATCCCAACCCATGTAATTGGACTGAGTGAATTAAAAAGTAATATATAAATACTGCCACAACACTAGCTTTTGTTCAGTCCCCTGGAATGGCCCCAGTGCTACAGAAGTTATTGACAAATCAGCAGAAATGGTTTAGAGGAGTCCTTGGCCAGCTAAGTTAAACAGCAGACAAGAGAACAGTTAAAACATGAGTTCCTGCAGAGAGCAGCCCAGGGCACTGGGGGAGCATACTGATGATATGGTGCTCTGCAGATGATCTGTTGCCTGCTTTTTTTCCCCTTGTGGGAATATCCTTTCTCTCTCAGCTGCTCATGAATTTTATTTTCCAACCACACCTCTAGCCCTAGGAGACCTTCTGCTGGAGCCTCGTCTTTCTAAATAGTTGAAGCACACATTATCAACATTTCTTTCAAAGGAAAGGCTGTTAAAGGGTGGGTCGCAAAGCTGTACACAAGAGTAATGAACATGAGGTGAAGGAAAGTAAAATGAATGCACACAGATGCACTCCTAGCAACAACACTTAAAATAATACAACAATAATAATTTTGCATTTCTGGCTGAAATTGTACTCTATTTGTAAGTCTATATTTAAAATACACGAGTTATTTCTTGCAGTCTGTCTTCAGAGATTTAGCATTATTGTATTCAAGAACTAGGCCCTGAATAAAAGTAACTTTCCACAACAGTGGAAGGGACTTATAAAAGTGCTCACCAGTTTTCATTGAGTGTACATCACGATTTGGAGGTATTTTTAAACAATGTGATTGACTCCCTCTGTAAGTTCAACAGCAAAATCAACGTGATCCACCAATAGCATAGAACAGTTCCACTGGGTTTGAGCAACACAGAATAGCCTCCAAAAGACTCTAAATTGCACCAGCATTTATTAACCCTCAGAGAAACCAGCCACCAGTGAAATGCAAGAGCAATTTGATCTGACTTTACCTGCCAGTGGTTCCAGCACTGACAAACTTATCTAGCTGAGCCAGAGATTTAAGCCTACACAATAGCTACCTCCTTTGGGGCTAAACTGACTTAGTTACCTGATCAGAAGATGAAGCAAATGGCTAGACTGAGAGGAAGAGGTAGAGTTTTCCAGTGATTTGGCAATGTAAGAAAACCTTTATCACTGCTGTTCATCCTCATGTCTACAATTCCTGAGGACTCTGGGACAGAGGATTGGAAAGAATTTCCTAAGTCAGGGCTACAGCATTCATTTTGTTGAGATTCTCTGGGTAACTTTGCCAGAGCTGGCCGAGCAGGAAGCGGTATGCGAGCTCTTGTTCTGCGGCACTACACAGGCTCTGCAGGAACTGCAACTGCACACCAAAGATGACCTCCAAAAGATGAGGGGAACAGTGAGGAATGCGGGAGGCATCACGTGTCTGGGACAAGTAAAACCTGGCCTGAATTTAGTCAGAGCCTACGTGAAGCCACTGTCAGTTCAGTAACCCTGTCTCCGGTGAAACGCAGTGTCCTCCACTGCATGCAACCAGATTATGCAACCCCTTCTGTAAACTGATTAAATTTTGTTTTAAAGCCAGTCGTGGTGATTTCCTTTTCTACTGTGGCCAGTGAAGAGTATTTGGTTTTTGAGAGAGATCGATAGAGAGCTTAAGGGGTGAAGCAACTCATGCTGCCTATCAAAATTATGCAAATAAGATTATTTCCAGTCTCTATCTTAACCAAACTGTGGCTTGGTATAAAAACTGGCAGGGAAGGAAGTGTCAGTTATATTGATGAGCTAGAAGAAAGGAGAAAACAGAGTTTGGACAGCAGTCTCAATTTTGTAAAACATGAACTCCCAAATTATTTTTAACGAGCCAGTTTGCTTTTCCAAGCATATGCATGACCTCGCACCTTCTCCACTCTTCTACCACGTCTCAAAAAGAAACCTAGGCTTCTTATTTGAAGCCTGTCTTCACCTCTCCCACAGCATACTACTCCCTCCTGTATCTCTTAGGCCCTGTATCCCCTCCTCCCTCTTTCTGCCACCATGTTACCCCATATTTTCACCTAAAACCCTAGCTCCTGGTACCGCTTTGGGCACTGCTAAATGCGTCAGAGTAGGCCCATCACCGCGATCTTGTTGTGCCACAGAGCATCAGCTCCGAGTGAGCCCAGATCCCCACGGAAAGTTACGGCACAACTTCCCGATCTTTACAGAAACAGAATATCTCTGATAAGCTGTGACTGACGACACCATGTCCTGCTAAAAGGCGGCAGCTACTGCTCCCCCGTTACTCAGCGGTGCGCGCTGGAACGCAACGGGAGCAACAGGTTACACCAAATTCTTGTAGACTTTCAAAATGTACGCTCCCCCTTTACCTCCCAAGCGGCAATATGCTGCTTTTTCAAAATAAAAGGGTCTTTCTCCTGTATATCCTCCCACTCTGAATAGTGATTACATACTAAATTTGGTGAAATCCTTACAGAGAGTTACTCCATTAATTTATGCATTTACATATGTGCATATGTATAAACAGAAAGGGACAAGAAGAGACCAGCTGGACGTCTGTATCGGAAACACGTGTCTAGACGCCGCTGGCAGGTAGCTGGGACAGGGCCCGCGCGGTGGCAGAGCAGGGGGCCGGTAAGGGCTCCTGTGGACCGCGAGCTGTAGACACCTCTCTGCCTGTGCGGCATGCACCGCCATGGTGATGAGCCTCTCTCTGCTTCCTGCGTCGTAGGAAAAGCCCACGCTTTTCTAGGGGAGGGCTGCGCCACAGCCGGCCGAGGGCCTCACGCTGTTAAAGCGCGTGAGCCTGTACTTATACTGCTCCTCCGGCCGGAGAGCTGCCGGGAGACCTAGGGCAACGCCACACCACAGAGCAGCCCCGCTTCCGAGCTAGGCAACGCTTCCCCGCAGGCTGAATGAATGCAGCCAGGCGTCGGGGATCGCGCCCTCGGGGACGAAGCAGAGGAGCCAAGGCTCAAGGAAGGGCCTTTCTGCCCACGCCCCCCACGACCTGCTGCGCGCTACCCTCTTCCCTCCCCAAAATACCGTTACAGAGAGTGGGATCCCAGGGCAGGGGACTGCTAATAACACGTCTCCGTATCACACGTATCACTTCTGGATATTTACCGTTTCTTACCCCGGCGACTACAAGACGTTTCCCGGCTGACGGCCCACCCCCGGGGGAGGCCCGCGGCGCCCCTCTCGACATGGCGGCGCGCCTTGCACGCCGAGGCCGGACTACAAG